AGTTGGGGAGGAGAAGTCTGCACCAAGTACAAAGCCCCTTGTGCCCGGGATGCTCTGAGGGTCCTATCGACTTCGCTACAATCCCCACCAGGTCATAACAATCTCGCCCTTTTGCCCCCTTTTTAAATCATCCACGACCTGCTCCTGGAGACTGACCCATGCTCGGAGCACCGGACAACATCTCAGATCCAATATTCAGATCCAGGGTTGTGTTTAGATCCATTCTAGTGATCTAGAGGACACCAGCTAAAGCCCTTCACCAAAGCCTGAGCGGATCTTGAAACAAAACTCACGTTCATGCCTACCTGCTTCTATGATTGCGAGGAGATTTCTAAACCATGTTCTTCCTGGATGTCAGCCCAGCTAAGCTACCGTACAGCAACCAAGCCCAGAAAAACAGAACAGAAAAAACCCTAATCCCAGGTTTTGTCTGCATTGGACACTTTCCCAATACCCTGTAGTGAAAGTCAGGGACTGCAGCTTTAATGCAAACAGGAGTGCGCGCGCACATGCACATGCACATGCACGAGGCAAGGTCCCGGCAGCCAAGTGCAGCCCATAAATTTGGGCAGCTGACACTGCAGACGTCTGCCAATGAAACGGGCTGCTTTGAAAAGGCCAATTGAAACAGGTCAGTAGACGTGTACAATGCGCTGCTTAGACACCCAGAACTATCTTGGGTCAGTGAGCCGCGTCCAGATGGAGTGGTCACCATTTAGTAGGTTTAATTGATGCCACGTCAAGAAGCAAACAGCAAAGGAGATGCCAGAAAGGCTTCTTCCTGCCTTCCTTCCTCTTCCCCCGTCTTCAAGCCTGGATATACATCCCACTGCCTCCCAGCAGCCTGGCTCCATGGACTGCTACAGCTAATCAATGCTAAGATCAGTCTTATCTCCGTGTATGATTTCCCGTTCCCGGGGCCTGCCAGGGAGGCTTCCAAAATATGTTCGCCAATCATGATTCCAAATCAGCCCCGGGGGGGGCCAAAATGCTCAACTCCTTTCCTCCTAAAATGAGATGGGGCCAATGAAAACAAACAGTGCTATGGTATTCTTGCCTGGAAGGCACAAAACCTCCATCATCTCAAAGCTTCCCCAGGCCCTGTCAAAATGATTAGATTATGAAATCTGCTGAAACCAGAGCTTTTCAGAGAAGCCAGTCAATAAGTCACTGCCTGGCGAGAAAGTAGGTGAAGGGTAGACTGGGAGGTAGGAAACATGTCTTGCTCCTGAGGCATCTCTTTATTGGCATGTATTAAACAGAGACAAAATAAAAAAACCCCCAATAAATCAGAGCCCCAGAGACATGCCAGGTAAGGCAGCACCAGCTGAAATTAAACTACCCTTCCTGATACCATTCAGCGTGGAAAGAAATGAGATTGGGAAACGTGTCATACGTGTTCAACCTACCAGGGAAAAGTGTCAGGAATCCGGAGTTGAGAAATCCCCTAAGGAAGTGGCTTTTCTGTAATACAAAACCCACAGCCCCGGCTGGCTTTTTGGAAGTTATGTAGACACTGCAAGTCTCGACTTCCCATCCCCCAAATGCGTTGTCTTTCTGTGGTGCAAGGCAACGTGATGAACATCTTCTTTTGAGCTAAGGCCCCACCACCATGGGACCTGCTGAATGCCATTCATCAGACACCACTCTCGCACCGCATGTCATGAAGGTCATCTTTGTCTAGCACCCGGGAC